CCCCAAAACCCCAAAACCCCAAAACCCCAAATCAATCAAAACATGTTGAAATATTGTCACATTAAAATTTATAAGAAAAAATGAGACAAAGCATTGATAAAACCAGAAGACATCTTCTATTTCTTGAAACTAGTACGACTCTATCTTAATTTCAGTTAGCCAATTTTCCTTCCATCACCTTTTAGTATCATTTATGAATAGAATGATTGAATAAAATCTAAAATTGTAGAACTTAAAGTATACTAACTTTCCTATTTGCTCTATTTCCTGGAATGGATCTTTTACTCACAATAAATCTAAGCTTTTACTTACCTGATATACCAACAGTTGACGATGCCTTCCTTCGGTTTTATGAATAAATATAGAGGCATTGCCAATTAAATTAGATTAAGTTCTATTTGACAATAACTCCACATTCAGCAGAAAATAATTTGCCTTTAGGTACTCAAAATAAAATGGTGTCAAACTTCTGAGAGTTTTCTTTGGATGAACAATCAAGAGAAAAACTCACACCAAAATGTGTAGTTGAGCGGGAAGCCAATATATCAAAGGAGGTTTCATTAAAAGCAAGAATCTGACCTGATCTAGCAGATCTTAAAAGATTCTCCTTCCAGAATGTACACGAAATTGCAAGTAAGAAAATTCGTAATAAAAGCGATATTTTTTACATTTCGTCTAGAAAAACCCTTAATTGAGCGTGCCTATTCAGAAGATCCACAAAAGCCAACTCTTGAAAGTATCTTCGAAGTGTTAATTTTTAGGAATAAATACAATAACATATGCTCAGCCAGATTCGCCGATGAGCATTAATTCTCACCAAAGAGACCACGAGCTGACTTCTAAAATGGAAGATGCTGTCAATATTCTTCAATCACTCGCAATAAACTTCTCCAATCCTCTGAATAAGGTAAGATTAGCTATGACATCTTTCTAATGATATGATTTTAAATTCCTATTTCTTCAAAACTCTAATATGATTTAAACATAGACAGCTATCTCTAGCCCTCAAAGTAAAGATGAATTTGCAAAGCCCCACTCCAAATTGCTAAGAAGAGTAAAGATCGAATCAAAGAAGAATCGGAAGAATATAGTTGAAATAACTCGTAGACTTACCGACATAGCTGATATGCTAGATGCTAAATCTAACACAGACTCAACTACCTCAGTTACCTCTAAAAGGAAGAAGCGGAAAGTAAAGAAAGCAAGAAGACTAAACAGCGGATATGATATTGTCACTGAAGAAAATCTTCATAAGTAAGTTCTTGCTCAAAATTGCTCTTGATAGAGTGTGCTTATCCTTCATACCTATTCCTGATCTGGTTGTAGAAATTTGGCTTTATGAATTTTTCCAAGATACTGAAACTATTATAGGCATGAATACTCTAAAAAGCCAACTTGTAAAAGTGACGAGGAAACATTTATCATATCAAAGAAGAAAAGGTATGATTATAATGATAACATTAATAGATACTCCTTGCAGTCTAACCGTAAAGGGACGAATGAGTCTTCTGGTCTTAAACTCAGCCTGAACAAGTGTCCTTTATTTACCGAGATCAATCAAAATATGTGATGCAATAGCAATTACTCGAACAACAAAGAAATATTTGACCAGCCTCCTCAAAAGCTAGAAGAGGAGATGTCTTATCTGAGAGCTTATTCCCTAAAGAAGTCTAGCAATTTAAGCAGTCTGGAAGATTCAGAATTACTCAGTTGAGCAGTTCAAAAATCATGAAAATCTCTCAAAAGAAAGAGCTTTAAGAAAAAGAGAAAAGATAAGAAGCTACTTTCTTCAAGAGTAAAGGAAGGATCCGGGTCTGATTCTTTCAAATTCTCTCTTTTTAGAGCAGACCAAATGAAAGAGATGCTGAACTCTTTGTCAAATCTAGAGTCAAACCAGAGCAATTATTCATCAACAACTTTATCACCCTCTCCAGCTAAGAGAATAAAAGATTAAGCATCTTTAAAGCATGATAAAGAGTATAGAAACTAATAAAGATTTCATTATTTCATAAAAAGTATAAATAGCTTTGGTCTAGACATAAATTCATAATAAATTGAAAGCCCTCCATTTCAAAGATCTTACAATTCTATAACCCATCCTCTTAGTGGGGTTTTGGGGTTTTGGGGTTTTGGGG